TTGTCCTACCCTCACAATTGGGATCAGAGTCACGGTCGGTAGCCTAGTTGCAATGTAGATGATGTGGCATGTTCCCCGTGGAGTCAGTGGACAGCTGTTGAATCCGTGTGCCTTGTGTCGAAAGTCGTCCAGGCAAAAGGGTGGTCATGCAGTGGGTTCCTTGGGTGATAACGGCAGTACAAGATGGTCGGATCGTGTGAATTTCGTTCATGGGGAGGCTCAATGTGGTCTTGTGTTTGATGGGAGATTTGTAGCTGGGTGTGCAAACTCAATCTCACATAAAAAAAAATAAAGGTTCCAAGTCCAATATATAAGCTTGGTGGGCTACTCCTTCTATTGCCAATTGGTTTTAGAATGAAACCCCATTTGGGCTTATATATTTGGCTTGTTGGAGAACAGTGTTTTGAGTTGTCGGTCCTAACAACTTACGCCATTGACTTAATGAGTAAAGTGAGTAAAAAAAAATTGCTCTAATCACCTTCCATAACTAATATTTAATATAAATGAATTACACTGCTCAAAATCTATTAATATATAATAAGAATTAACTTAATTCACTTTTAGTAATATTTTCCCTTCAAAAATATTAATTATTGCCTACATATAGTAACTTAACAAGCTTTCATTAATTATTGTCTAATTATATTTGATATGTTTTTCCATTTTTTTTTTCTTTTATGATATGGAATGAAAATCCAAAACAATATGCTCTTAATTGATGTGTTGCGCGGAATTATATTACCTACTTAACATACTCTCATTAAATTTTCGATTTTTTTCCCAATTTCAGTAATTACATATGCAATATGGAATTTAGAATCTCTTGCTTTCAAATAGAAAATATATTATTCATTTAATACTTTGATATCTTTCAGCAATATGGAATTTAGAATCTCTTGCTTTCAAATAGAAAATATATTATTCATTTAATACTTTGATATCTTTTTGTAAATTGGCAAAATACATGGATGTATCCATATGGATTTATTTTTAAAAAGCGGCATAAAAAAACAAGAAATAAAACTATACACATTTAAAGTTGTATAAAAGGACATTCAGTACCACCATTATTTTACATTCACAGCGTTCACGTAAAAAAAAAAAAAAAAAAAGAGATAAATTAGATTTGCGGCTCAGTGATGATGTTATAAAGAATCTCACCCTAAGCGAAATTGAGACGTTGTTGAGAAGGCGTGGCACAAGTCTTCGTGATTATTCATCCATGCCTTATCCAATTAGAGATCATAGTAACTCTACTTCGAATCGCTTAATATTGGATGAGCTAAATTACGATCGGGAGGCTTTCTCTGTAGAGCACGAAGTGTTTCTTAGTAGAATGACCGACGAGCAGAAGACTGATTATTCAAAGATCACAGACGCTGTAGATTCTACTAATGGTGGTGTATTTTTTGTATACGGATATGGCGGGACTGGGAAGACCTACTTGTGGAGAACGTTGTCTACGGGGTTACGATCGAAGGGTAAAATTGTTTTATGTGTCGCATCAAGTGGAATAATGTCTCTTTTTTTGCCTGGTGGAAGAACTGCACACTCTCGATTTCGCATATTGCTGAGTATTCATGAAAATTCATCCTGCGATATTGACCAGGCAAGTCCTCTTGCGGAACTGATAATACGATGCTCTCTCATTATATGGGACGAGGCGCTGATGATGCTCAAACATTGCTTCGAAGTTGTCCAAACATCATTGCAGGCTATTATGGGAGCAGTTAACCCTTCCAACAGTAACAAGCCATTCGGAGGCAAACCTCTTATATTTGGTGGAAACTTTCGACAAATACTTCCAGTGATTCCAAAGGGGAGTCGTCAGGATATTGTGAACGCAGCTATTAATTCTTCCGACATTTGGAGGAATTGTACCGTGTTGCGACTTACAAAGAACATGCGTCTTCAGAGCTTTTCAGACACAGACGAACGTGATGAGCTAACAACATTTGCTGAGTGGATTGCGAGCACTGGAGATGGGACTGTAGGAGGATCAAACGACGGTTGTGCCGCGATTGACATTCCAGAGGATATACAATTGGAAACCTCGGATGATCCAATTGCTACAATCGTCGAAAGTACCTATCCAATGTTCAAAAACGCAACTGACGATCCAAGTTATTTGAAGGACATAGCAATATTAGCGCCTACTTTGGAGGTCGTTGAGTCAATCAATCAATAAATGTCGGATATGAACTCTGTTGATGGTCGTACATATTTGAGCTCTGACACTACGACTAAGTCAGATTCCGACAATGGATTTTTGGCTGATCTCCACACACCCGAGTTCTGGAATAGCATTAAGTGTTCGGGAACGCCGAACCATGAGTTGCATTTGAAGATAGGAACTATGATCATGTTGTTGCGATACATGGACCATTCTATGAGTCTGTGTAATGGCACACGTTTGGTTGTTACGAAGCTCTCTCCACATGTTCTTGAATGTAGGATATTGACTGGAGATCACGCAGGTGAGAAGGTGTTGATTCCTCGGATGAACATAACTCCTTCTGATGTTAGGGTTCCGTTTAAGTTCCAGCGGAGGCAATTTCATCTTATGGTTTTCTATGCCATGACCATAAACAAGAGTCAGGATCAGTCTTATCACATGTTGGACTGTTCTTGAAAAAAACTATTATTAGTCATGGTCAGTTATATGTCGTTGTTTCACGTGTTACTAATAGAAAGGGGTTGAAAATATTAGTTTGTGGGGACGATGAGTTACCCAGTAATCAAACTAATAACGTTGTATATAAGGAGGTTTTTAATAATGTAGAACTTTTTACCAATGACGATTTTATATTTACTTTATGAATGTCATACGTATTATAATAACTTATTAATTAATGACCTTTTAATTTTTTATTTTTTTCCAAAACATGTACTAGCTCGTGCATCGCACGGGTTACATACTAGTATGGAGGAAAACAGATTGAAGATGTGCAATGTGTTATCAGAAAATTTAATAGGTAAACGAAATTTTAGGCAGGAAATGTTTGTTGAAAATCAAATTGCAAAACAAATTCTGACTCGATTTGCATTGGAAGTTTTTTTAGTACAAATGTATCAATGAGATGAGTCCAACGTTATATTTATTTGCTAGTACAACCTCCGTGTATTGCACGAGTGCTTGCTAATTTTTTTTAGAATATAAAATTAGTGAGAAAAAGTAATTGAAAATTTAAATACCTTTCATATATATATATATATATATATATATATATATATATATATATATATATATTATATTTAGTATGACCTTTTTTATTTGTGCTTTATCTGTGTTATATTATAATAATTTTTTAAACTTACAACATATAACTACATTAAACATAAATATATCAATTGAGAAATAATATTAATTTTCTAATGAATTTTAATAGATATTATTATTTTTTATTATTAAAAAGATAAATATAATTTATTTATTTCATATATACAATGTGGATGTCAAATCGAAGATCATTAAAAGATGATTAATTAAATATATTATACATGTAAAACCAATAAGAAATACAAAAGTTATCAACTTTTAAAATACATTTATAATTCAATAGCTAATTGAATGAAGCAAATAAAAAATCATGGATATATTAGTCACTTAGTGTCTCACTATGTAAAATTTCAAAGCATTAAAGGGTTATATTAATACAAGTGATATTAAAATACCAAAGTTAGCTAATAATATTTATGGAATGTCTGAACATAGATTATTAATTATTAATATATCAATATTATTTGTCTGAACCTAATTACGAAGCATGATTCTTCGTCAAGTAGGATTCCGAAGCATCAGCAGCAGCCACGTAGGCTCAGCGCATTCAGGAATTATATATAGGGATATATTAATCACTTAGTGTCTCACTATATAAAATTCTAAAGCATTAAAGGGTTATATTAGTACAGTGATATTAAAATACCTAAGTTAGCTAAATAATATTTATGGAATGTCCGAATGTAGATTATTAATTATTAATATATCAATATTATTTGTCCAAACCTAATTACGAAGCATGATTTTTCATCAAGTAGAATTCCGAAGCATCAGAAGCAGCCACGTAGGCTCAGCGCATTCATGAATTATATATAGAGAGGATTTCACAAAAGGCCAAAATAGTTTTTAGAAAAATTGAATGCGTATAACAAGTGTAACGTTTCTAATGGATTAGAATTGCACACTTGCTAAAGTCCAACTTATGTGTATGTTTTTAGAAACTAGGCTACATTAAAAATTTTCCAATTAAAAAAGACTAGTACAACACCCGTGTATTACACGGGTGCTTGTTAAAAAATTATTCTTAAATTTTAAAATTAATGAGAAAACTATATTAAATTAGTTTACTTTTTTACAAAAAAATATAATACTATATATTTTAGAATGATATGTGTTACTTATGACTTACATGTGTTATATTATATTAGTTTTTATAACTTATATCATATAACTATTTGAAATATAAATATATTAGTTGATAAATACTTTTATTTTTCTAATTAATATTAAAAATAATTTTATTATTGTTATAAAGATAAATATAAATTATTATTTTTTTATACAATACAATATGGATGTTAAATCGAATCTCATCAAAAGAAGATTAATTTGATATATTACATATGTAAAACTGATAAAAAATACAAAAGTTATTAACTTTTAAAATACATATACAATTCAATAGTTATAATAAGGAATGATATTAAAATGCAACTAATGCATGTAACATGATCATAAAAAAATCAACATATTTATGGTAATCCAAACCTAATTATTTTTGGTTGGAATTAAATTAAAATTTATCCAAGCCTAATAACGAAGCAAGAAATTTTGCCACATAGGATTCTGAAGCACCAGAAGCAGCCACGTAGGCTCAGCGCGTTCTGGATTAATATATAGGGGATAGCATTCAACATGGTTACGTTCCAAAATATCCTATATATATCCCGTGAACTAGTTCAATATTCTGCACCTCTCACAAATAAGCTTCTTTCCAACAATGGACAATTGTAACTTATTCATTTTTCTGCAGTTTCTTTTTCTTCTTGTTCCTCTTCTTCTGGCTTTCTCTGCTCAGGATAATCAGGTTTGCCAATTTTTTAAAAGTTGGAACTTTTGCTGTAACTGAAGTGTCACTATATATTAAGACTCATAGCTTATGTAATAATAGCTTTAATTATATTTATTATTCATAGGTATATATTGTGTACCTCGGGGAGCATCATGGAGATAAAACCCACCAAGAGATAGAAGAGAACCATCACTCATTTTTGTTCTCTGTGAAGGAAACTGAGGAAGATGCAAAATCTTCTCTTATTTACAGCTACAAACGCAGCATTAATGGCTTCGCCGCTTTTCTTACCCAACGAGAAGCTTCCGAAATTTCGAGTGAGCCAAAACTGATTTAAAGGGAAAATTTTCAAAACTAGTCCCACATGTATAGGGGAATGACACTTTTGGTAAGTGAAAATCAAATTAGTCTTACAACTTTACAAAATAAATCAAAAATAGGATTTTTTATGTTGGATATATGATTTCTAACCCGAAAAGAAGGTGACTTTTTTTTTTTAACACGACGACAATCATCGCACGTGACAAAATACTTGTGGGACTAATTATAAATGTTTTTCCTATTTTTATATTTTTATTCTCTTCTTTATATAAAATTATATATATATATATAATACCATAAATATATTATTAAGTAATCTAAGAAAAACATTATGAATATATATGATTACTTATTATATCTATTTACAAAAAAATTCAGTTATAAATAAGAATACAATATGCATTATAATAAAATTAGACAATATGTTAGCTACTTATATTTTGTGAAGTGTTATTTTTAATAGTTAATATCTTTTAGCGTCTTTTTATTATTAAATTATTGTAAAATGACAAATAATTTTATTCATGACATAATTATAGTTAATATTTTTTTATTCATGACATAGTTTTTTTATGTAAGTTTATAATTATTTCATACAAAATATATATTTTTTAGTATTTTTATAATTTGTTAATAATAAATATATTAAAAATTATTAACTATAATTATATCATGAGTAAAACTATTTTTCAATTTTATAATAATTTAGAATTACAGCTAATACTTTTTACAATATTTTTATAAATTATAAGAATAAAAAAAAGAAACCGATATATATTTAAATTGTGAATATTCAATTGTGTCGATTCAACAATTGTATAGTGCTTCAAAATTTTTTGAAATATTCATATTTTTAAGTAAGTAAAGTATTAATAAGAACAATTCTAAGAAAATATTACTGACGAATTCATATAATATGATATTTCTAAATTTATTTTTGGTCATCCCAAATGGTACGAGCAAACTGAAAAAGAATAAATAATTTAATTGTTTATTTACATGTACATATAAATATGTTCGCCTTGTAGTTATTTCAGGCACAAATGCACCAACTTAGAAAATCAACATTTGAAACCCCCAATATTTTTCAAAAGAATAATTCTAAGAAAAACTTTGAAGCCCTATGGAATTGTTGAATTGATGTATTATCGAATATTCATATTTATTTTTTATTTAATTTTAAATTATTTAGCTGAAAATATATAAAAATATTAACTATAATATTTTTGTGAATAACTACTTTTGTAATTTTATTATAATTTAATGAATTTCTAATTTCATTTAATACGTAATGTACCATTATTCATAATTGAACCGATTGTAAATAGCTATAATAAATATCACATATATTCATAATGCTTGTCTTAGATTTACTTACTAATATTTTTATATTAATTAATTTATATTTATACATTAATTTATATAACAAAAGAAAATTATAACAATATAAAAATATAGAAAATTTCAAAACTAGTCCCACAGTTATTGTGTCACGTGTGATGACTGTCCTCAGTGTGCCAAGAAAAACTGTCATCTTTATGTGACGTGGGCTTTTCGAGTCAGAAATTCGTAAATCAGACTTCAAAAGTCTTACTTTTGATTAATTTTTAAAGTCGTGGGCATACTTTGATTTTAACTATTCTGCGGGACAAAAAATGTCACTCCTAACTAGTTTTGAAATTTTCCTGGATTTTTGTTTATTTTTCTACTCTCGTGTGTGTGAATGTGTTACATGTTAACCGGTGGTGTCTATATCGAATTATAATAGAAAGGGAGGAGGTTGTGTCAGTGTTTCAGAGTCATCCGAGAAAATACGCATTGCACACGACGAGGTCATGGGAGTTTTCGGGCTTACCAGAGGCAACAAATTCAAGCAAGGATAAAAACTCTTTGTTATACAAATCTGGATATGGCAAGGGCGTCATTGTTGGCATGCTTGACACGGGTAATTTTTACATATTAAGAAACAAATCTCATAGCTGGATGGATGAAAAAAGTATACACGATATATATGGAGTTGAATGAGTTCAATCAGATATAAAATGAGCGTCATAAAACGAACCTCTTAGTATAACTTTGGTGTTTCAATAGGTATTTGGCCAGAGTCTGAAAGCTTCAATGATGAAGGCATGGATGACGTACCACAACAATGGAACGGAACCTGCCAAACTGGTGAAGCATTCAACACCTCACAATGTAATAAGTAAGATATTTAATATTTATTATTATCTTTTTTGGTATATACACTTCGAAAAAATTTCATAAATTGTTCACGGCTCATATACACAAACGGAGAGGTACGTTGGTCTACCATCAAACTTGACTCATTATGTTGACCAGAACCAGTATATTTCAATGGAATACTCCAATAATATATATTACACACGTTAGATTACACACCATGGAAAAAAATAGCGCGCTATAGCGCCGCTATTGCGTTTTAAACCAACTAACGCGACGCTATTTTGCATTTCTGCGCTATTGGCGCTATTGACGCTATAGCGCGCTACAGTGCCGCTATAGCGCGCTATTGCCGCTATTGCCGCTATTTCGCCGCAATTTTTTTTTTTTTTTTTTGTTCAGACTTTTTTTTTGTTCAATTTGTGAAAGTTGAATTTGATCTATGTTGTTTTTTATTGCTTTATTCAGCTCAGTGTATGTATTCTTTTTTTTTGTCGCTTTCTTTGATTATTTTGTACGATGATGTTGTATTAATATACATGTGGAGGTGGAATTGAAATTTCGATGTTATTAGGCAAAATTTGAAATTTTTTCCAGTAATTTATTTGTGGTATCTTCTTGTGATGATCTCTGGTAATCTGACTGAAATATTTCATTTATAGATTCATGATCCAACTGTCGCTGGGATGAATTGATTGATATGTTTAGTGAAATGTAGCAAGTTTGGACAAAATAAAATGGAATACTAAGACGGATACGCAATGTAATCAAGGCAAATTTCATAAATATTAAAAGAAGGCAACCAATTAATTCAAAAAAAAAAAAAGAGAAAACTATCATTTCGTTTAAAATAGCGCGCTATAGCGGTGCTATAGCGGCGCTATAGCGGCGCCATCAATGCAACGCTGCGGTGCTATAGCGGCGCTATAGCGCGGTGATAGCGCCGCTATAGCGCGAAATAGCGGCCAGAAAATGGTGCCGCTAAATTCGATAGCCCGCTATTTAAATCTTTGTTACACACATTAGAATTTAACAACGAATTCCAACAAAAACTAGTCGCGACCCGTGCGATATAAAGGATGATATAAACGGGTGACAAACAAACTAAAAAATCATAAACTATTGAACCATAGGCACCCTATATGACCATCATTTTTGTATGTGTGTAGCTTAATACATCATGTTGGTATTTCTAAAATTTTTAATTACATATGAACGTAGGAAAATCATCGGCGCCCGATACTACCTCAAGGGCTACGAAGCCCACCTCGGCCCCCTTAACAAATCGTTCGATGTCAAGTCCCCCCGCGACATGAATGGTCATGGGACCCACACGGCGTCCACGGCTGCCGGTCGTGCCGTCAAGAACACATTCACCCTCGGCAGCTTCGCTGCGGGGATAGCCTCCGGCGGGGCCCCCTTAGCCCACCTAGCCATCTACAAGGTGTGCTGAAACAACCCGGACGAGGGGGAAGCCGGTTGCTTCGACGAGGACGTCATTGTTGCCTTCGACGATGCCATTGCTGATGGTGTCCATGTCCTGAGCGTCTCGGTTGGGTCAAGTACTTCGTACCAACAGAACGGCATCGTGATTGGGTGTCTACACGCCGTCCGAAATAACATCGTGGTTGCATGCAGCGCTGGGAACGGTGGGCCCTTATCGGGCACCGTCGAAGATGTTGCTCCGTGGACAATCACAGTCGGGGCCAGTAGTATCGATAGGGTTTTCCCAGCAGTAGTCGTGCTCGGGAGTGGCTTTCAACTCCAGGTGATACTTTTGTTAGATTATGAAGGAAACAATTTAGGTCACACTGAAGTGATTTCTAACATTTTAAGTCTTGTAATTTAATGTTTTACTGAATTGTCATTCCTTTGGCCATCAAATTTTTCAATTTATATATATGGGGTGGATTTTGATTACCAATTAAAGGAATGGTCAAATGAACTGAAATTGTAGCAAAATATTATATTACATGTTTTAATTTTGTATACGTCACTTTCAGTAGGACCTCAATTGTTCTTTATGGGACCAAAATTGAATTTTAGCTAAAAATAATAGTTGGATTAATGAATTCCTTTTCACAGGGCCAAACAGTGACTTCTTATCAGATGCGAAACAAGCTGCATCCACTGGTTTTCGCGGGTGATGTAACCAAGCCCGACGTGCCTAAAAACGAATCTGGGTTCGTTTATAGGATTTTTTTTCTCAGGATCTTTTTGTGACTAAACAAAACCTAATGGAGGGTACTCATTCTTTCTACAGGCAATGTTTACCAGATTCCCTCTCCCCTGAAAAGGTCAAAGGTAATATCGTGTTGTGCTGGAGAGGAGAGGGGTTGAGAATCCGCAAAGGCATGGAAGTCAAAAGAGCCGGTGGAATTGGTTTTATCTTAGGAAATAATGAAGCTTACGCGAACGATTTAACTGTCGATGCTCATGTTCTTCCAGCAACGCACGTCACCTACGAGGATGCTCTCCGTATTCTGGAATATATAAACACTACCAAACAACCAAACGCGCGCATCACGCCAGCTCAAACTGTTGTGGGCAACATACGGGCACCTTTCATCCCTTCTTTCTCCAGCAGAGGTCCCAACTTATTTTCACCCCAAATTTTGAAGGTACATTATTTACTGAGTTCATTGGCTATCCATTTTTATGTTCATTTAATTTTTCATTTTATTTTTTTAATGTATAGCCGGACATCGCGGCTCCTGGACTAAATATATTAGCAGCTTGGAGCAAAGCATCTGGTCCATCAATGGTTCGCGAGGATAAACGTGTTGTAAAGTATAATATTATATCGGGCACATCTATGTCCTGCCCTCACGTAGGAGGCGTGTTGGCCCTTCTCAAGGCCGTTCATCCTGACTGGAGCAGCGCCGCGCTAAGATCAGCTCTCATGACTTCAGGTGTATATGTATTTTAGCATCAATTGAATATTCTAACAAAAATTTTGAAATTAATTTAAAATGATTTATTGCAGCAAGGGTGGTCGACAATGAAGGAAAACCCATTATGGATGCAACCGACAGTCAGGCTGTCCCGTTTCACTTCAGGTCGGCTGTTTTCGACCCGAACAAAGCAGCCGACCCGGGGCTCGTGTATGATGCGACTTACAAGGACTACCTGCTCTTCCTATGCAGCATGAAGTTTAATAAACTTGTTCATCCCTTCAAATGCCCAAAGAGATTACCGTGTCCATTCAACCTCAACTACCCGTCAGTAGCCATACCCCAACGTAAAAGCAGTGTCACCATCACTCGAACGGTCACGAATGTGGGCCCCGCTCAAAGCGTGTATTCTTCCAGCATAGAGACTCCACCGGGGACCCACGTGAACATATGGCCTTCGAAGCTGCATTTTAACCACACGGGTCAGAAGAAGTGTTTCACCATCACTATAAAAATGGGTGGGAATTTTACTAGTGGGGTTCGGATGCACAATTACTCGTTTGGATGGTACAAGTGGTCTGACGGAGTACACATTGTCCGGAGTCCTATGGCTGTTTCACTTTATCTCTAGTCCCTGCCCTTTTTTTTCTCGTCTTTCTTTTGAGAATTTCGCCACAATAAGTGATGGAATGGGGATTATGTGCTAGCCGGATCCTCATTTGTAATTCCAATTTCCATGTGGCATAAATAAAAAACAATAAACTATATACTTATTAATTACAAATTTTCTCCATTTCATATTATATGCCATGGTTAATAATGACGGGGGCAAAAAAAAGCTACAAACTAATTAAACACAATAAGGTTAATTGTAAAACAAAACAAGCACCACATGAACTTGAATGGTCTATTGGTGTAAATCTCCTATTCACCTACCTTTCTCCTCTTGCGAAAATATCACCTTTCCCTTAGCCCTAGCCGATCTACGCCGCTCTTCAGCCTTCTCTCTGCCGCACTAGCTCCATCTCTGTCGTGGAGGTGGCTCGTGCTGGGGTAGCGATGGTTCTCTTCGTTCAGCCTCCGTCCCTTTCCAAAGTGGCGCTCTACCAAGCTGTTGAGCGCCAGGACGGGTTCTGTGGGTCTTGGGCGGCGAGGCAAAAGGATTGTCGTCGTCGGCGCCGTCACGGTGGTGGTCGGGTCTGTGACAAGAGACTGGGCGCCCCTTAGATCCGTGGCGTACCTGGTGTTGGTAGGACAAATCTGTCGACGCGGGTTTTGGCTTTAGAAGCCTTCGTCAGTATTAGTGTGGGAGTGCTTATAGTGGCGGGTTTCGCGACGTCGTGTTGTCATTCCGGTGGCGGATGGAGGATGTGCTGGTGTGGAGGAGGGTTTTTTTCTTTTCTTTTGTTGTTTTTGTTCATGTTCTGTTGCTTTTTTGCTTCTGCCAGAGATTATCCGGCAGACCCAACCTGATTCGGGTCAGCTGAGGCAGGTCTGGTTGCTTGACAGACCCTCGTCTAGTGTGGCACTTCCCATTGCTCCTGCTGGCCATAGCAGAGGGGTGGGGTGTCCGGTCTCTTAGCCGTCGGCTCTGAGTGTCGCGATGGAAGCATTTTGGAGTCGGGTTATCGCATCAAGCTTGTGTCCGGTGTTGACCAATCTCTGATGTTGGGGTTGGTGGGCTACACCGGAAGTGACATCCTCGGCTTCGGTTGGGAAGGGTTGTGGTTCTGGGGTGTCTGCGGGTGGGATTTATTGCGAACAATTCGAGTGTTCTGGTGGCGTTTTCCTGTGGAAGGGTATGTTGGTTTTCCGGTGGGTTCTGGTTAGCCGGCTTTGGTCAGGAATTTTCTGTTTCGTGCTCGGTGCCACTATCTTAGGTTCTGGGTGTTGTTGTGTAGCTGGTGGGGGTTTTTTCCCTCGTGTTTGAGGTGTGGTATTTGTGTGTTCTGGTTTTGTTCTTTGTGTGTGGTGTGTATTCTCCTTCTGGAAGCTAAATTCTCCTGTTGAGAGCTAAATTCTCTCGTTGGGAGCTTGTGGGTGTGTAGTGCGATTTCAATTAAGATGCCAGTTGAGTGGTCCTCACAAGGATTCCAACCGTGTGGCTTCTCATTCCGGCAGTTATCGGTAGTTATCTGATTGTAATTATGTGTTATTTTTTATGAATGTATGTCGTTGAAAAAAAAAAAAAAAAACTTGAATGGTCTATTTAAGACTTTTGAACATGAGCTTTTATGTAGTTTTGTAAATTATTACCTTATTTAGCTAGTTATGGCTCAAATTTGACTTTAATAATGATACATAAACAGAGCAGACTTACGCCGAGTAAGACGTGATTTAGATAGGCGAAAAAATCTTCTTCGATCAAAATCCTCATCCCTCAAACAGTCACCTTCCGATTTGCAGGTCGGCCTTCCACAGCGGTCACTGCGCTTTGTCGGCGGTAGTTGGCCTCGGCGCTTGGAACCCGCCCCTTTTTCTCTGCTCCTCCTACCGATTTCAGTGGAGAAGAGTCTTGCCTCTCGCAGATGGGATTCCGCCCCCTTTCTTCTGGCATCGGTCCTTGATTTCGGTTTGGTAGCTTCTCTGTTGTTCGGTTGCGGAGCCGTTGCGCTGTTCTTGGGGCGGAGCGCGGCCCGATTTCTCGGCAATTTTGTTGTTGGGCGATTGGGGCGGGCTGCTGCTCAAGGCGTCTCTCCCCGATTCTCTGATTTGGGTCTAGGGGGGGCCGTAGTGTTTCTTCTGCTGCCAGTGGTGTTGGTCGAGGAGATGCTGCTGCGGGTTCGTTGTCTTGGGCAGGTTCCTGGTGGTTTGAGGCCGGAGCTGGGGCCGTGGCACATTCTTGCTTATTCGGGGCAAATTGGTGTTATGTCCGTAGTGAGGGTTGGCTCGGTGGTGTTCTGGGGCTGGTGTTTCGACTTCGTTAGGCAACGAGTGGTTTTTGGCAGTTTCGAGTTGATGCATCTGGCTGCAGGATACACGGTTGACTTAATTCCGTTGGTTTTGGTTAGGTGTTGCTGCTTTGGAAGGGCTCGTTCAGTTGGGTCGTTTTGTTTTTGTTTTCGTTCGTTAGTTTTTGAGTCTGTGTTAGGTTGTGTTTTAGGTCTGGGTATTTTACCTGAGTATTTGTCCTGTTTTTTGGTTTGGGTTGTTGGCCCCAGTGTGAGAGGGAGCAAATTTATTCTCCTGTAGGGAACAGCTCTTTTCTCTATTCTCCTGTGGGGAGCTTTGTGTTATAGTTTTTGTGTTGTTTTGTTGTGCTGTTGTTTTGTGAGTCATTTTCAGTTTCTAGCGTTGCTAGTCTCGGGTTCTAGGCGGTCGCAGACCTGTCCTTTCAGTTTTCTCAGTTTGGGTCGGTTCATTCAACCTCGGGTTGTATCTTTGCACGTTTGTGCCTTTTGTTTTATATATTATCCCTATCGTTTCGTCAAAAAAAAAAAAAAAAAA